AATAAATCATTGGAAATTAAAACCAACGCTTTAGCACTAAATAATCGTGGAATAACATACCAGGAGATGGGAAAATATGTTGAATCTCTTAAAGATTTAAATAAATCATTAGAAATAAATCCAAATAATAGTACAGCATTGAAAAGTCGTGGAGTAACATATCAAAAAAATGGACAAATATGATGAATCTATTGCAGATTTAACTAAAGCATTAGAAATGAGTCCAAATGATGCAGCAATATTAGGCGAACGTAGTATAACATATAAATTAATGGGAAAATATGAAGAGTCACTTGCTGATTTAAATAAATCATTGGAGCTTAGACCAAATAATCTAACGTTACATGATCGTGGGCTCATATACCAAAAGATAGGTAGATATGAACAATCACTTGAAATTTTAGTTAAATTATTGGAAATCAAACCAAATGATGTTAGAGCATTATATATCCGTGGAGTAACATTTCGATATACGGATAGATTTGAAGAATCACTTAATGACCTAAATAAATTATTAGAAATTAGGCTAGATGATGCGGAAGTATTGAGCGAACGTGGTGTAACATATCAATTTATGGAAGAGTATGAAAAATCACTCGCTGATCTAAGTAAATCATTAGAGATTAGACCCAATAATGCAGATATATTATGTAATCGTGGAATGACATATCAAAAGATGGGCAGATATGAAGAATCTCTTGCTGATTTAAATAAATCATTGGGAATTAGACCAAATGATTTTATGATATGGAATAATCGTGGAAGTACATATCTATATATGCAAAGGTACAAAGAATCAATTGCAGATTTAAATAAATCATTAGAAATAATTCCAAATGATGCAAACGTATTAAGTAATCGTGGAATGGCGTATCAAATAATGGGGAGATATGATGAATCACTTTTAGATTTAAATAAATCATTAGAAATCAGACCAGGTGATAGTAATATATTTTATAAACGTGGGTTAACATATCGAATGATGGGCAGATTCGATGAATCACTTAAAGATTTCAATAAAATATTAGAGATAAAACAAACTAGTATTGCAAATTTAAAAGGTCATGGATTAATGGAACAAATACATCCATTAGAATTAAGCCTGAGTGAAACTAAAATAATAAATAGCGGCGGACTTACATATACAATGATGGAACAATTTGAAGAATCACTTGCAGAATTAAATAAATCATTAGAAATTGAGCCAAATAATGCAACTACATTACATTATCGTGGAGTAACATATCGAATGACAGGCAGATATGAGGAGTCACTTAAAGATTTAAACAAAGCATTAAATATCAAACCAAATGATGCAGAAATATTACATATGCGTGGCCTAACCTACCAATATATGAATAAATTTGAAAACTCACTTGCTGATTTAAACAAATCATTAGAAATTAGACCAAATGATACTATAACATTAAATGATCGTGGAATGACATATCGTTTTATGGAAAGATATGAAGAATCGCTTACTGATTTCAATAAATCTTTAGAAATCAAACCAAATAGTGCTGAGATATTAGATAATCGTGGAGTAGCATAACAAGAAATAGGTGAATATGAAAAATCACTTGTTGATTTCAATAATGTGTCAAATGAAAATGCTATTTTTGAAATAGCAGATGGAATTCGTCCAGAATTTGCAGTAGAGACACCTGATTTCTATATTCAACTTGCAAATCAATGTATTAATAGTAATCCTTCAGAGAGACCAACAGCTAAACGCGTTTATGAAAAATTATATGAATGGAAAATTATCCTTGGCAGACAAACAGAAGAATTGAATATAAAACAGCTTGAAGTAAGAGATAAATTTTCAAAAGCAAATAAAATCATTCCTGTATTATCAAAAACTTTACATGAAGACGAAAAAAGGTTGTATAAATCTGAGCATGATAACATTCACAATGTTGTAAGTAAATGTAGCTCATTTATAATACACTGGCTATCAAAAATAATGCAGCAAAAAAAAAAAATTCGTTAGATCGAATTATCTCGCGCAATTACGCATGTATCCTTTTGTT